GCCAAGCGGAGGCTATACAGGATATAGGCATAGTTTAGACTTCAATCTGCAACTAGGTAAATATAAAATTTATACTGTACAAAGAAAAGTGACAAAGCAGAAATCATCAGGGCAACTTAAAATGAGGCATTTAACATGATTTGTGCCTTGCACAATTGTATAAGGCCATGGGCAATTTTTTTTTTTTTTTTTTAGTGTGTAACCTAGAGCATCTCAGTCTGAACTTGATCTGCTACTGTAGATCTGCTACTGTAGATATTTCAGTCTTACACACTCGAGTTGCACATTCAGAAGCATCTGGGCTGAATTTTAATCTCTTTGCAATGTATGGCTTCGCCAGGCACAGTGGCTACAGTGTCTCCAGACACCGTCAGAAAAGCTCTGTGCTGCCCAACAATACCCATTTTCTGTAGCTGTGACGTGAGTAAGTCACCGACCCATTTTCCACAGCCAACACCAGTAAAAAGAAAGCATCTGATATAGTCTCGGTGCAGCTGGTCGTGTGGCAGTGTTGTGCTTGCACTAGTTGGCGTCTCATTTGACTAAATGACTTTGATCAATATTTTCAACTTTGTTAAAGACTTGTGAAGAACACACAGTTACATAGAGACTATTTGACTCTGATTAAAACAATGTTGTGTCTTACTTTTCTTGTGTGATATGCTTCTTTATGGCTCCCAGTGTGACCAAGCTGTTGCTGCCCTGCAGCAGTCTGCAGGTTGCCAGGTGCCGCTGGTACTGCTCTTTTAGATAGGCGTTCTCCGTGCACAAGTCGGACACTTGCTGCTCTAGCTCCTCAATCCTTCCCCTCTGTCTCTCCAGCAAGTCCTGCTGGGTCTCAATGATCTTGTTAAGCTCCTTCAGATACTCCGAAGCCCTGGTAGGGTTCTCGGTCGGGCTTTCCATGTCGCTCCGACTGCAGCTCCTGCGCGTCGGTTCCATATTATATCGCACAAGCCGGAGAGATGGTTTCATGTAGTCTGGTTTTTAACAATTCACCGGGCTGTGCCTCTTACGCTTCGCCATTGTTTAAGTCGGTGTGTGACAATTGAGAATCAGAAATCCTCCCGGCGCACGCGTTTTCAGCTCCCACTGCACAAAACTAGACGCTCCGGACCACGTATCAAGCTGCCAATGTCAGCTGGTGTGAATCAATCAGCCAAATGTGACAGGCTACACTGTGAGGATCCTAGTTGGCTCTGCGAAGTCTGCCTGGTCCCCCTGTTGGTGGCACGGTATGACAGTTTCAGTTAGGTTCCTTTGGCTCCATGCTGTTCCCGAGACTTTTCATAAACAGACGCTGGCTGTCAAGTGGGCGGGGGCTTCAAGTTTTATGAATCTGCAAGTCGCACTGAGCGCAATAACGGCTTTGCAGCTGCTGTGGGGAGGCACATTAATTTCTGAGTTAGTCAGTACGTGTTGTTTTTTTTTTTTTACATTCTGTGCTCACCGATTCCGAACATTTGTATTAAGTGCATGTGCTGTGCAGGTACGCACGCACGTATTGCAAACATGACACGTTTTTATAACATCACTGTTGCCTCGTAGTCCGCCTGCGTTTCATGCAGCAGCACAGTCTGGTAGGCACAGTGATACTGTCTCGTGCTTGCAGAGTTGTTTACTATGCTGTCTGTGTATTGCTATTTCACCAGCAGGCTGCATCCCCTCTGGTGAAATGATCTGTTAGATAGGAGCAGCGTGGGTTAGTGTTTAAATCAGAAATGACTGCTCAGCACATCTGTATGTGTGGCAGGAGGCTGCAGATCTCTTGTGCCCCATGGGTCTATAAGAGCAAACGGCAGTAGCCTGCTGCTCTCTGCCCTGCCACGAGAATAAGCCTTTTTTTAAAAAATCACAAACAACTATAGGATTTCTATGTGATCTTAAAAGAAGAGCATAAAATGGAAACTTTTAAAGCTACAGCTGGTGAAAGTCCAATCTGCCATCCTCATCCATTATGCCTTTGAATAAAATCTGAGATGAATCAGTAATGCACACACACTCAACTGCTCAGCCATTTTCATATCCACGTCTCTCATTAAAATCCATTGTCTTTTGATCACTTTTTCTGAGCTCTGCTGAGATTCTGCATTGATGAAGCGAATGCTTCACCCATGAACACCTTCACCGTGCACACCAGAAGGCTGCACTGGGATGATGGAGGCAGAGCTGCAGCAAACCAGACACAGCAGGGAGCAGTTTAGAACATGGAGTACAGATGAGTCTGTTAGACCTGTCTCTGTGGCTCCTTAATCCACATGGCAGGAGGCCAAGAAAGGCTGCAAGAGGTTCAACATGCCACCCAGAAGGATATACAGCACACAGCCATTAACAGCCACCAGTCACAGCAGCAAGCAGTGTTAGTGGGGAAAGGAGACCATCCCTCAGCCCATGTGCAAACACACATCATAGCACATATACGACCTTCAGTGAACCTCTGCATCCTTTTCAGCTCTGGCACTGCTGTTCCTCAAAAGAAGAACAGAAAAGGGCATAAAAGAATAACTCACTTCACGTAAGTCATATACCTTAAAACCTAAATTAGATATTTTCATGTTTCCTAGACCACAATTACACCATCAAAGCACACAGCTCCATCAGTCCTCCATCCCTTTAGCTCGTATAGTTCTGAGGAGGATAGGATATTAACCACTGCAGAACATCCAGCTTGTTGTTATTATGCTCTTGTGCTCTCTGGGTTCTTCCTGTAGCTGACCAGTCATATGCTGATGACACCGCGGGTGCCAGCCAGAGATTTATTTTGTGAAATCATTCATATATTTGCACTGAGGCAAACCCACTCAGAAGCACTCTTAGCTCAGCCCTGTAAAACGTTTTCTAGCTGTGACGTACGAAGAGCCCCAGTCATTTAGCCAGCAGAGCGGAAAACTTGTTTGTTTTGTTTTGTGTGTTTGTTTTTTTATTTTTTTTTTTGCTGAGAATGCCAAAGAGTGTCTGCTGAGCCCAACAACCCCCTCATGTAGCCTAGATGTGCATCTGTGTGATGGATCTGAAACACTAGAGGGAACATTGCAGGCAATAAAGTAATTTACTCCAATTTCTGATCTTCATATAATACATAATTAAAGTCATAAATTCCCAAACCAAATAGTTTAAGGCGTTCCCTCAGTGGTGCTCCTGCAATTCCCTGCAAGAACACAGAGGGAGCTTGATTGGGTTTGGATTGTTGTCATTTTTTTATATGAATGTGGTAACATAAACATGACTGCATTTTTTTCTTGTCTTAGAAAACACTTAACCAAAGGAAAAATCATCTAAAACTATTATATTGGGCTCAATTACAGTTATGATGTAAATGAACAACACCCATAAATTACTAAAGCTTTCATTTGGCTCAAAACTCTAGACTCCGACGTTGCTCACAAAGAGATTTCTTTCCATTCTGAAGGTCCTGTGAGAGCAGTCTTACCAGTCTTGTCAGGTCTCATTCCAGGCCCACGTCACCGATCCCCTCCGCTGATAGCACATCTGGCACAGTGGCTGTTTCCCTTCACCCAGGTCAGCTCAAAAGCCTGACAGGTGGAGTTTAAGCAATCTGTGTGCCTTAATGGAAAAAATAAATTGAGTGTCATTTTAGCTCAACATGGATGACTGCCTTAATGAGATTTAGATATACTGCAGGTCACATTTAAAACCCAAATGCCACAATCATGTGATGGGAGTAATTTAAAAACAGCCATTTCCACTTTTGAATTTCATCACACTTAAACTGAAGCAAATCTAAACTGGTGCTACTGCTTTCTCCTACAAGTGGTGGACAGCCATTCAACTGGGGGTGCTTCCTCACGAAACACAACACATCGCTGAACCTGGTTTGTTTTTTTTTCCTAGGCCAGCCAACATTTTGAAAATACCCTCGAGCCCCTGAAGTGGCCATAGCCTGAGCTACACAGTAGGCCTTCCAAAGCTTCCTCGTAAAGACCCTCTCAGGCACACGACAAGGCTCTTTTCTGCCTAACAGCCCCTCTGAGGAACAAGGAGCCAGCGCTGTACAAGTCCTATTTTCAGCAATGCATGTTTTGGCTTCATAAATGCAAGTATCTTCTGCTTTTCTTTCCAATATATCATTGGAAACTGAGCTTTTAGACTTTAGGTCAGGCATAACAAGCAATTTGAAAACACCCCCTTGGGTTCTGAGAAACTGTAGGTAGGCGGTTTTCACCATTTAGTTTTTACTTTTATAAAATGTATTCAATAAATAAGACAGAATCTAGATTTACTAAAACATGTAACACTTCTAACAATTAAATATTTGATGAAACTGCAACTAGAATTCAGATGATTGTAGACACAACTAGGGTGACTATCAGTTAGTGACATGCAGGTGGCTGCTGAGACAAATGAGGTGGGTGCCTGGGCCCCACCAAAGCAGTGTCACAGACAGATGGGAGATATCTGTTTGGTGGTTACAGACCTTAACACGTCCTCCAGGAGCCAGAAGAGAAAGACCCCAAAATCCCATTCTTGTTGGTGACTGTGCCGACTTTTGAATACATGTGAATTCAGCCAGTGTTAACACACAGAATCACCGGTTTCCATCAACACACAGTAATATTTCCCTTGCATTACTTTTCCTGTAATGTTTTTCCAAATATACACAAAACACCAGAAACAAAAAAATGTGAACTACAATAGACTTGTTAGAAGTCAACAAAATGTAACAAAGAAGAAGAAGAAAAAAAAAAGTATGGACAAATGAAACAGCTCTGATGCTTCAGGTAATTCCTAGGGACGTGTAGAAAATTGCAGGTTGAGTGGGTGTGACAGAATCTGTACTGCAAGCGGAGGAAAACCAACAGTGTTGAGTTCAGGCTGGATTTACACTTGTATTTCAGATTACTCAGATGTTTCTGTATGATAACAGACCGTGGGAAGATACTCATCTGTTAAATGTTACTGTGAAAATCTATTTAAATGTAAACCTCAGAGAGCGGGGGCTTTATGCTTTGGTGAATAATTATGACAAGATCGACAGAAGATAAAAAATAAAAACTTTAATTAGCAAAGGCAAAAACATTCACTCAAACAAACAAGCTTGTTATGTGCTGTAAATTATATAATGGTAAGGCATGACTGAATCTCAAAATAAAAACAGTGCTGAAGCCTTTTCAACATCACACAGTAAATAGTTACTAGCTAACTAAAAAAGTTCTTGTCAACACTTTCATTCAAATACAAAAATATCTAATTTAAACAAAGTCACACGCTCACATCCCAGCAGTTCAGTGCTACAGTGATCTCCTTCTGGAATGTGAGCAGGTCAGAAACAAAAGAAATTTAACATTTTCAGAAATGAGACCAGGTCACATTTGCTTGTTTTTTTTACAACACTGAGATAAAAACTGAATAATGACTCACATTTCTTAACTGTTTCACATTAATGAATTAGGCAGGAGCTGCATGTACTGTGGCTCAAAAGCTCAGCCATGTTGACGAACTGGGAAGTTCCACTTCCCTCTAACAAAATGCCCACGAGAGATCTAGAGCAGCCTTTTCCAGGTTATGCACATTTGAAGGGTTCATCACCTAAGAGGATGTATTCAGTGGATAAAGGTTTCACGAAATGCCAACGCTTTCAAGTTAATGTTTGCTTTCAGTCATACAAGAATGTGGTTCATCCTGAGTTACAACATTTCACAAGTCAAATATAAGTAGCACACAAGTAAATATCAAAACAACAAGCAACCATTTTAACAAGCTAGTGATTTGGTTTGTAAGCACTCTTCAAAATTCTTCAAACATAGTTTATAACCAGGTGGTCTTCTATAAAATCCATTACAAATGGCATTCATATAAACCTGTTTCCACACATGTACACACAAAGTAAATAGTCCCGTTATCATCTTGCATCTCTTAACTTGATTATCTATACTGAAAAGGAAGCTTCTTTAAGCATCTGTACCAGCATGAAAAGAACTAAACTGATTTTGCATTCACATCCCACAGCATTCATCCTGAGGGACAGGCACATTTGATATGCAGTAACCACTTGTGGGGTTCTGCTTCTGAGAAACAGTGACCAGACAGAGGGCTTTATCAGGACTTGTAGTCTGGAGAATAGAGACGCGACCTTGGGCTGCTGTTGGGGTCAGGTCTGGGTATCATGCGGTTGAAGGAATTCACCATTGAAGAGTCTAATCCTGAACAAGAGCCAAATATAGCACTGAGTAAATAAAGCAAATACAGCAGGACAACAGTAATTTTATGGACAGAAAACACTTAGCAAGAAATGACTGGAACAAAACTGCATTTGGCAATTTAAGAGGGAAACATCTTGATTTAAAATTCACAGCTGTACAGCATCATTTGTACTGTTCACATGTAAATCTCTCCCAAACACACTACAGAGGCTACAACAGTAACACCAACCCTGTAGCAGCTCCATTCATGATTAACTGGAGACTGACAACTCCTTCTGCCTGGTTTTACATCCAAATGACCTTTCATTTACTATGAGTGGGGTAGAATTTGACTGCCTGTCCTGAATGCTGTCAGACACCTCTTCTACCCTTTAGAGTTAATTCTTAGTGGAACTTTAAACTTCTCTTTACTCATTACATTCAGCTGTACAGCTCAGGTATATAAACCTGGACTGATATTTCACAAATGTCTGATTTCTTAAACAGTTGTGGTGGGGAAGTGTCCTACCTGACACTGGTGGTGGCGTCCTCTGGATGAAAGCAGGGTGATAAGTTTGTTCCCTTGGAGAGAACATTGTGTGGAGAACTGCAGGGAATATAAAATGCATCAGTGTTTGATGAGCTCAAAAATCAAATCACATTATCTTCTTCAGCTTGGTTTCAAATACTGACCACTACTGATAATTAGTCTCTCTATATATTTAATGCTTTTCTAACAGAAATGCAGTCACCCACCGATGATGATGATAGCTGTCCCTGCCAGCAGAGCGAACAGGGTGAAGAACATCATCTGGTAGCTGTTTATGAAGCTGTGCAGGGAGTAGGCCCCTTCCATGTTAACAAGCGGAGAAGCAGCTGTTGAGAAAGAGCGGTGGAGGAGGTAACAGGCTGTCAAAACCTCTTCCACACACACACTGACATATTAACTATGGCACAGAGAGATAATGATGCTCATTACAGCGGTGGTGGAATTGGAATGGAATGATGGTTCAAGTGTGCTCATTTTGGATGTACACTGAACAATACTTTGTTTTGCCTGTGTTTAACAGAAAAACATATTGTGAAGCTATGAGAATATCTAGATTCTGTTTATACTACACGACTACCTTTAGGACTGTTACAGTTTTTGAAATTCAACCTACTGTTCAAATGTGAGAACATTAGAAATATTTCATCTGTAATTATATATAGCACCTAACAACAATCTGTTCAAATTTAAAATTCTCCGCCCAAGTTCAGATAATCCACTTAAAGCCACAAGACCCAGTGGCTTGAGGCACAGTGACTTGTCACTGGCACCAAAAGGATATCTGACCTTGCATGGTGTTGAGATCAGCCACGTGAATCAAAGTGACTGGGATGATGAGACGCTGGCCGGAGGAGGTGCTGCTTATAGAAACGGAAGCAGAAACTGCTGCGTGAGGGTCCACAGCACTGACGGCGTACTTTGAGAAGCTAGGAACACCATGGTGTACCTCCTTCTCTTGGACAGCAATGTTGGGTGAAGTAGACACCACCTGAAGATTTGGAAAAGTGTGGCACACATCTAAACAAGAGGTTCACCATCACAGCCAATGACAAAACTGAAATGTAATCCACATATGTTTAATAACAGAAGATTGGCCATGAATAGCCATGAAATAAGTAAACCAAGCAACTTAGCTTAGTACACCCTGGATTAGAATCCATGCAATGTTCTAGTATTTAATGCATCCTCTGTTAAGTACAGCACTTCATGACATTTTGTCAAATCTATCCTGTTCCACTTCTGGACGATGACCTCCTTGGGTGCCGTGATGATTGATGGCAACTTGAGTTGAGGTCAGGTGACATACTCGGCCATTGCAGCACTTTAACTTTGTTCCTCCTGAAGAATCCTGCAGTGACCTCGGAACAGTGTTCAGGGTCATTGTCATGTTGAAAACATGCCCGATGCTTGTTCTCTGTCCAATTTTTGCAGTACATCTGTAAATTCGTGGCAAATAGACTTTTCTATGCACTGAAGTACACTCAAGGCACTTTCACACTATTTGCCAATTTACCCATTCACACTCCCAATCACTCAAAACAACCTGCTTTACCCTCCTGACACACAGCCACCCCGTCTGTAACAGCCCTGGGATAGAATCATCCTCCACGCTTCACCCATGGTGCTATCAATGAAGTGCAGTCCCCCACAGCATTAGCACTCCTATGTCCCCAAATTAAAACTTCACTGTAGGGACCGTGCACTTTGCACTGTACTACTCGTCCTGGAGCAACACCATAACTGCTGGATGTCGCCAAGTACTTGCTCAAAGGGGGATTTGTTGGGTGCAAGGTCTACTCCTGATTATGTCAAGTGCCCTGAGACAGTTGTTGTGAATTGGCACTATACAAATAAATTGAATTAAATTTATCAGATCCAAAAAGGTCTCATCAGTCCACAGAATGAATTCCCAAAACGCTACCTTTTTCAGTATGGGCCTTGGCAAAATTTAAATGGGTTTTCTTGTGCTTTGGCTTCAGCAGTTGCTTCTTGTGTGGATGTCAACCATGCAGGCTATGTCTTACTGTGCGAGATTAAACAGCCACTCCACTTTCCACAGGTTTGGCACTAAAGCACTTGCTTTGTGACTCTCAGCAGAAATTGCTCATCACTAGGTGAACGCTTACAGGGACAGAGTGAAGGTTTAGGAAACTTGTCACAAGTCCATTCTTTTTGAATTTCTATACCACTTTTGCCACGTCTTACAAAAAGGAGCCTGTTTAAACATAATGGAAACATACTGAGAAACATAATTTACTTGCCCCAGAATCTACTCCTGAGTCTTGGGACCTAATGCTAACCCATAAAACTGTAATGATGGCACATTTTATTAGAGACTGTACAAGAAACGGTGTCATGTCTGACCTTCATGTTGTACAGGGCGGCAGTGGGGCCATAGACTGTGAGCTCAGCTGATGGATGCAGGCTGGAGAGCAGCAGCTCAGTCTGGTCGCAGTAGAGGCCTGGCTCTATGGGCAGCCTGGTGCCGACTTGTTCCCCAGCAAAGGCACTGCCCTTCAAGCCTGCCTTCACCAGCAGGTTAGTCATGGACATGCTGAGCACACGGGTCTGTTGGTCGGTCACTGGCTGCAAGGTCAATGAACATGTGTAGAGGCCTGGAGCAAAAAACAGGCAGATGTTAAAAAAATGATGGTTCAAGATAAATTATTGATGTGTCCATTTGGGACAAGAGATGACTTATGGATGTCACAGTGTGCGTTGGAGCCCTGTTGTCAAAGTCGTACTAGACATGTAACTGTACACTGCATATGCCTGTTCTAATTAATGAATCTGTTTCCTCAGTGAGATTCAGCCGAGTAGTTACTGCTGTGTGAAAACAGGGGATCGCCCTCACAGAAAAGGTGAAGTCCAAACACAATTAGCCAGTGTTTTAGAGCAACAGTCTGCTCCGTTCAATACACCGGTCAGCTTTTATAGTTCCTTCTAAATTCATTCCATAGGCTATGCAGCTATTGATTATACACTTGTAAACATTATTTTCCTGCCCCTTGCACAGGACATGCATAAAAACTGTACCTAGGTTACTGTAGGTCAACAAGTAATTTTGTTTTGGCTAAGAGGGGAAAAGGGAAAAGAGCAGTTAATGTCCTCAAACACTACCTTTGAAACTGCTACAATTTATGTTCTAAATCTAAACAAAAAGATAATGCTAACACCACAATCCAAAATATAGGACTGGACCTGGCTATGACACCCAAATTAACCAGTAACATTATTCAAATTGAGGCTACATCTATAGGGGAAGGGGGAGGCCAGGATGGTCTTATGGTTCCTAAGTCCTTATATTGTACCTTCCCACCAAATTCAATAAATAATGAATTACCACAAATAAAAAAAAGTCTTACCAATGTTGTGGTCAAAGCTTATGTGTGTTTTGAGGACATCACTAGCAGGAAAGTCAATAGCGTCACTGGTGAAGCTGAGATGGCAGCTGAGAGAGGTTTCTGGCTGCAGCTGAGAAATCGCTTCAGTCTGCGCAGAGGAACAGGTTCCTGCAGGGTACAAACACAGCACTGGCATAAGACATATGAAACCTTTGTGCTCCATTACACACATTAGTTATGAAGTTACAATATATTCGGAGTCTGACTGTGATGTACCATTTTCAAGGCATATCAAAAGTTTGACATTGGAGGTAATATGGTTATTTAGTTCAATATTAATGATACCACCCTCATATCAGTCTGTTAAATATGAAGCTACAGCCAGTAAATGGGTAGCTTAGCATGATGACTGAGAACGGGGAAACAGCTAGCCTGGCTCTGTCCTAAGGTGTAAAAATATATCTCAAACAGCACCTCCTTCAACAGCACACTATTGAGCACTTTATTCAATTTGCTGGATTATATGCCAGACTACATTTTAGCTCTGAGCAGGTGCCAGGAATCCAGATGATACTCCAGGAAGTTATAGGTCATGGTCAAGAAATAATCCGGCTCACATTTCTCCTTAAGCCAGAGAAACACTTATTTTATACTTGGTGTATGTAAGGATTAGACAAAATATAAAGAATTTCATTACTGAGCTGGTAGAGTAAGATAAGCTAACAGGCTGCTGGCTCCAGCTTCACATTTACCTTACACACACGAGAGCAGTGTCAATGTTCTGATCCAAGTCTTATCAAGAAAGTGAATAAGCATATTTCCCCAAATGTAGAATTTTTCCATGAATTAAT